ATATTATATGCAGTAAAAACAATGAGTCAACAGTTTCTATTCCCTTGAGGTCAAACCATTCAGCAGTTTTGAAAGTGGACTGTTCTTTTTTGTGCACAGAGCATGTTGTCTATTAACACAAAATGTGTAAAATCAAGATACAATTTGAAAAAAAATCTTGTCCTTTCAAGGGGAATTTTTCAAACTTACAACATAAACCAACAGATATTTCTTCCCCACATATACCAATAATAATAGTGCAAAAATCTTTCCTTTTTTAGGTCAAAGATACATTATCTATATTAAGTAATTATTTGTATGATCCTGACAGGCACTTTGCAGTTCCCACTAACAGGAGTATGAACTGTGAGCATTAATGCATAACTAAATAAAATGAAATTTTCTGGAGATATTTTGTAATGGTGTGAAGATAAGAAAGACCTTTAACATGAAAATGTGTTTTGACAGACAACTGAAAGCAAGGAGTCTAACAATGAAAATTTCCTAGATTTTCTGGGAGTAGATGAGGAATTGACAAAATCCTGGCCACCTCTAACCACAGCTGCACCTAGCTCAGGCTAGTGCAAGAAATGTTGTGTTCATACAGATCCATCCTTCAGCAACTCTCAAACCTTTGTGGAGGATTATTATCCTGCTCATACAGACTGTGAAACTGCAGCACAGAGAAGTGACAGCTCAAGGCCATTTAAAAGTCAGGAGACTTTGGAAGAGAACTCAGATTTCTCAATCCATGCCCAGCACTCTGCCCACTGGGCTCCAATGCCTGATAAAGCTCCTCTTCCAAACTGGACAGAATTTAATAATTTTGAGGAATTTCAATTCATAACATTGTTTCTTTTAATAATTTTATTTGGTGGGAAAATTGACTTGCCTAATTATATGAAGTTCAATTGCAAGGGAATCCTAGGCCAGCTGCAGTCTCCATTCCTGTTATCCTTGCAGACCAAATCTAGAGACAGGAGAGCAAACTGGATTATATCTAGATGGGCTTTTATGTAGGAAGAAATACCATTTTGCCTGCATTGACACTGTCTGACCATGTTTTAGATTAAAATGCACCTTAGAGTGGAATAAATAATATTCATCATTCTGACAATTAATTGAAATGAAATCTTAGACTCTGAATCCCAAGGAATTTCCTCTGGCACGCTGTCAAAGTGCTGGATAAAGTCTTCTAAGCTTATGCTGACCACTTTAGTATGTCACCTAAAATAACTGCAAATGGGTTCAGGCATAGTTTGTCCAGCAGATCCCAGGCCCAAGTGATTACTTACCCAAAATGTGGAGGAGTACATCTGGCAGCCCAGCTGGTCAGAGTCCTGACAGATTTATTGGAGAAGTAAATGCAGGAGGCATGGCTCAGTCTGATCTTTAAACTCTCTTTCTTCTGATGCTTAAGGAACTCTTACCTTCTCAAATATTTAATAGAATATTTAAACAAACTATCTAAGACCTAAAGACATCTCAGTTGTTTTGGGTGTTCTGTTACACTGCTCAAGTGAGACCAGAAAGCTTGTTAGGGCACTTCAACTGAAAAACAGACATTTCCACTAACAATTGCTCTTATAAACTAAACAAAAATCAGACAGATTTCAGAGAAGGCAAAATAAAGAGACTAAAGCAACTTACAGAATTTCCTCTGGATGTCTCAAGTTAATTGCAAATCCTGTGGCCTGGTATTTTCATTTCCATAGTCACAATTAAAGGCACAGTGATTTTGATGTCATGTAAGAGGGATGAAATAAATTTCCCATATGAAATTAGAGTCTCCTTTTCAAGTTGTGTGAAATTTTTGCAGGCAATATGTCTTACTGCCTAATGAAAGCCAAAACCTGAATGTACTGCAGGAAGAGTCACACATGCTGCAGCCATGTAGATGTGCTGACTCCAATGACACACAAAAATATAAATATATTTGATTAAAGTTATTATTGTCTATTTAATAGACTTATGAACTAAAAATAAAAATAGAAACTCATATCTTAGTGTGTTCCAAGAAGGGATCTTCACCTGATCTTTGTTTTTACAGCTCTCATCCCAGCAATCAACTGTGAAAACTCACATAAGTACTCTCAGTATGACTGAAGCTGTTCTTTTGTTAAACAGGGTATTACAAGTTAAAACTAGAGATTCCTATTCAGGAAAGTAGTGAAGATCTTAAAATTAAACATATATTAACATTACTTTGTAAATCAAGTCTTACTTAAGCAGGTGACACTTCCAAAAAAGACTGTAATGAGTCTACCCCAATGCAAAGGCATATAAATATCAGGAGGCATCAACAGGACTATAATTTCAAAATTTTGTAGGTATGACATCTGGAAAAACTATACGTCTGTTCAATGGCAGTTTGACTGTCTGCACAAAAAATTCAGACCAGTAGCATTAAAAAATTACACAGAAAAATGTATTCTTAATGTTAAATAATATAGACAGAAAACAATAAAAAGTTTTCTAATGAAACTGTAAAACAAATCATTAGAGTTTGGATTACTTTATGTATGTGATTGTCACATCTTACTAGATGTTTTTATTAGATCTTTTTTATTATTAGATCTTTAGTAGGTCAGTAATTTATTCTATGTTCCAGTGTCTGTTTAGAACCTCACCCATAACTATCAATTCAACAAATCAATGTATACAGTATAGCATCAGTATAGCATTGTATTATCAATCAGCAACACTATTACAAATAAGAATATAGATTTAGCTATGGTCCACGGGTCAATATTTTTTATGTATTAATTTGTTTCACAGTTCTACTGTTATTTTTCTCATCTATTAAGGCAGGCAAGAATATTTCACAATATTAAAAAAAAAATTTAGCTGCAAGGCCTTTCTAGAGAACTAAATCTCTGTTTTATTTTCTCTTCCTTGGCGATTTTCTATTATTGGAGGAGCAAGAAGGAAACTTAATACCAATTTTAATCTATTTTCCCTGGCAAAAGAAAGTAAGAAATAGGCAGAGCATGCACAATATGTTACCTGTGTTCTGTCAGTTTGTGTTGTCTGAGAAGAATAGGCTGGCACACAACATTTGAAATGGTTATTGCATCCCTCTTCTCGACAGATCCATATCCCCCTCCAGGAGGGAACTTGGGTGAGCCCTGGCTGGATCAGTAATTTCCCTGGGTGCACAGAAAGGTCTGAAGCCTGCACTTTTTAAGAGAAATGGGGGGAGAGGCTCTGAGAGGGGCCTCCACACACACTGCCTGCAGCTGCAGAGCTGAGGGTCAACCCACATCCCACATCCTGGGAGCAGCAGCAGGAACAGATGCCTCATTCCACACCAAGGTTGGAGGCAATGTGTTCCTGAACAAGGCTAGTTTGGGGACGTAGGATGGAGAGCAGACCTGTTCCTGAATCCTAAAGCTAGACAAGTATGCATAGAGCAGCTTCAGCTAAGTGGGAATGGTGGGTGGGCTTTCTTATTGAGCTAGAGAAATAGGGCAAGATTTTGCCTGGGATTATTTATTTTCTTGCAGAATGCATAACCTGCCCTATCAGTTAGATGGAATTATTACCCACTCACACCAACCTTTGCAGCTAGAATGGTATTACTCATTCTCCTTAACAGAAACCTAACACTGTGGTTTTGGTGACACACTGAAAACATATTTTGATCTTTACTGTGTTTCAGATGGCAATGCATTGTCTCCTTCCTGATCTTGGATTACAGTCCATACTGGAAAAAAAAAAATATAAAGTGATTAAAAGTTTAAGTGGATATATTTGTAAATGCTGGTTGTAGCCTTCCCATAATGAATCAGCTTTTTCCCCTAAAAGTAATGCTAAGTACTAGTTAGTAAATTATCCATTTTCCCTTGCAAATGCTGTATTATGTACAGGAATAAAATATTGCTTTTTAAACAGGAGTGGATGTTATCACTTCAAATGTGCTTATATATGCTTCCTGTGCTGAGATGCAGCCCAGCAATAACAATACCACAATTACCAGAATGTATAATCTATATTGTGGCCCCGTGTAAATCAAGCCCCCGCGGAGCAGTCGCACACATCCTGCAGGATACCACTGCCATCCTCAATTGCTTCCGGTGAGCGCCCTGCATCTGCAGGAGCAGTTCTGAGCCACGCTGGCTCCTAACTCCCAGCGCTGCGAGTCTCCTCCTCCCAGGAAGAGTCAGGCATAGAGCTGAAGCAGGTTTTGTTCATCACTGCAAAAATGGGAAACCAGAAAATCAGGCTTAGGGAAAAACCAGTTTTGATCTTTTAAAAATACTTAGGATTTCCAATACAAGCAGAAAATTGTTGCAAGTACTGCAAAGGAGAGGGTTCAGGATTTCAACTCAGTTGTTAAATTGCTAAAATAATGCATACCTGGGGTTTCCACACTGTGTAGACTTAGATGTATTATCTTAGATACTCTATCATTCATTCCCTTCAGAATAGAACATCATTTTTACTCTGTGCAAAATATCTGAAAAGTAAACATTTTTGAAAGATTTTTGTAAAGTTAAAGAAAAAGCAAAGTCCAAACTAAACTAGAAATATGTTAGTTTACTTTCAAGACACACTGTAGCCATACACTCAGAACAATCTTACAGGAATACTTTGACTGTAATGTTTCAGTTCAAGCTAACTGAACAGACTGATTCAGAAATTAAATCTACTTGACCTGTTCATGATTTTATATTTTTAGTTAGTTCTCAGGTTAGATACTGACTTTTTCAAACAGATGTTGAAACCAATACAAAGTTTCAAAATACTGTATACCACTTAAAAATATCATTTATAGATATGACCCTTAAAAACAAAATAGGTGGCTTTTGTGTTATTTGACAACCTTTAGAATTCGACTAAATAAGCTTCTAACTCTCATTCTACTTTATAACTGAGGGACAAACCATCTTTCCTGGGTATACATAATTTCCACTGAGTCTCTTACTAGCCAGAAGAATTTTAATATGTTTTAAAATAATAATGTAGCATTTTAGAGGAAATATTATGCAAACCCTGTTATTTTTCTCTTTCTAATACAGGCCTACCAAAGAGAGATACTAGCTGGAGGCAAGACCATTGCTTGTCTGAATGGTATTTTAAGGTATCCCTTTTTCTTGCTGCTTTTGGTACAAAATTATGTAATGAATAAAGATTCAAATTTAATTTGTCCACTGCAGAAGCTGACAGGGAGTATTTCTTTTGCTAGTATAAATACCTGGACTGCAGATGCCAATGAGGGGTGCAGGGCAGGGATGCAAGAAGCACCATGTGGTCAAGGGTAGCTGGAGAACTGGCACACACCTTCTCAGAGGCATGGCCAAGTCCTGCTGCACTTCATCTCTTCTGGGATATACAGAAGTCATCCAAATCCCTACAAACAACTTTTTCCTGGAAGCTTTATTGTCTTTTCTGTACTGAACATGTGACATCTTACATTCCCCGTTACTGCCTTGTACCTTCTCTAGTCTGATCTTTTCTAGAAAGATGCCCAGAAACTTGAGCATCTGTGCAGATCCCTCTGTAAGCACTTCATACCCTTTGGAATTAACAGTCAGCTGTTGATTAGCATAGGGCAGGGAGCCTGGCTACCCCTGGCTCCAGGAAAATCTCAGGAAATTCGTGTCTGATGTACCACAGCCAGTCCAGGATAAGTGGAAACTGCCTTGGCTGAAGTGGTGGATGAACTACTCTTCTTGTCAGGATTCAGGCCGATTCCTGCTGAAGAGACCCAGACAAAAACATAAGACACATGCCAGTGATAGCACAGGTAACCCTGCTAGGGAATACCCAGCTCCTCATCAGCCTAACTGCTAAACCCTGAGCTGCCTCTTCATTTTTGTACAGGATTTGGGACAGTCACAGGCGTGTGGTTGTTGCTCTCGCTCAGCAGACAGACCCACCATAGCTCACACAAGTGGTTTAAAAAACGAGCTTGGAAAAACTGTGATATTTGGCTTATGAAATAATTTTTAATTCTTTAATGATGCAGATACTTTAGTCAGTTGCAAAAAGTAGACAGAATTATCAAATTACTTTTGCCTTATTTGTTGCGAACTTCTTAGCTGTGGCACCACCTTGTGGACATTGCTATGTGGCGTGAGATCTCGACTGGTGGCACCAAAAGCAAGTAACCCAGGCCTTTTGGAAAAACAGCTGTGGTCACACATGGTTTGCTAAAGGCGAGCAAAATAATTACAGTTTAAAAACTATTCCTAAAAATCCACCTACAAAATAAAATGTATAATAAATACCATCATTAGTTTGCTCAGTTGTCTTTGCAGCTTTTACCAACTCTTCTGCCTGCCACTAAGAGGAGAGGCAGCTTTCAAAACTACTTTTGTTTCTTCTCAATTGACTCAATTTCTGTACATGCAGGACTTTTATACCTATCCCAAGCAACAAGACTTGCAAGGTCAAAATCATAATATTGAATGCTTGGAGAAAACCTTCGGTCCCACTCCATAAATGTAAACTCAACAGTTAGATTGGGGTCCAAGCTAAGCCAAAAGAAAAATAATCTCTGACAAAGATAAACTGGGGGATCTTTTAAATGCTTGCTGAAACACAAGCCAAACAAAAATAAATTTAAATTCCACTCTCTTGGCCATTAGATTCTCAGAACCTTTTGCAGCTGAGGTAACAGGGGGTTCCTGTTATGAGCTCTCTTATCAGCTACAGGCAAAGCAGGAAAGCACAGGGAAGCCAGGATTTCTAACACAAGATTTGCAAGTTGAGTGCAGCACACATTCTCTCTGTGTCTGAGTAACCTTGGGGAGCATGAAATAAAACACTGAATTGCATTTTCTATTTCTCTCTCTTCAGTAACATACAACCTGATACTTGCATTAGTATAAAGTGCAGGAGGAGATGAAGACTTGGAGCAATCTCAGACTTGCTAAAATGAAATACTGATCACTGCAGCCAGGAAAGCCAACCCATGTCCAGTGGAGCTCATCCCTCACTCTAGAACAGACACTACTCTTGTTGCAGCTGGTGTCCTTCCTCTGCAAACAGCAGCGCTGTATCTGTTCCATGAAAGAATAGAGAGTAAAATGTCTTTTTTTTTTTTTAATTATAAAATTAAAATATCTTCTAAAATATGATGATGACAGCACTACTTTTACAATTCAAATATTTAAAAATGTTTCATAGAAATGCATTTTTATTTTCTCTGTCCTTCATCTCAGAAAGATGAAAGAGTTTATGCTGGTATTTTTTTTTCCCTTTGGCATATTCATACAGTAAGCATTAAAGTTATTTTATTTTTTGTGCTTGGAAATTCCTTAGCATAAGTGCAGTGTTTTGGAAAAAATATAGGGCTTTCAAACTCTTAGTGATCATTCTCAGAGATCAACTATTGTCTTAAATTTAACTTAAATATTTGTTTTGGAAATATATAAGGCATTGGCTGAGATTCTCCTTCTCCTCAGGCACCATTAATGTGATTTTGTTCTCCATTGCAATTAGTTGCATAATGCATCCTCATTACTGGATGTATCTGCATGAAAGTTTTCATCCACAAAATTGCAGGAGCTGTTACTGTAAACATGGGGTGAGTGACACAGAAAAGACTGAACCAGGTTTATTCTTATACAGAACTCAATTTAAAAAAATATCTTATTTCTTATTTTTTGAGCACGTGAAAATGTCATATTTGTGTCTGTCACATTCAGCTTACTTGCTTTCAGAAAATAAGCTAATAAACTGTGAGGCAAAAATAACCTTAAATCTCCAAAATGGTACTTTTCCCACAGATTTGGAACTCCCTTGAATATTTTAATTATCTCTTTCCTAAAAGCTAACAAAGTAGCATGGCACCAGATTAAAATAATTTTCTTCGCCTTTCTGCTAGAACTGATTTCTTGCTGAATTAGCATATCAACTCCAAAACCAATTTCCACAGCATCAGTGACCTTATGTCACTTTATGTATTACAGCAGCAAGAGAGAAATGGTTTCAGAGGGCTGTAACAGTTGAAAATTATTCAGTATAAATCCACTTATTGAACTGGTTACATGCAGGAGACAAAGCCCTGAAATTACACTGCTAACCTGCATGGCCTAAAGTCAGATTTCTGCATTTTTAAAGGCTGCACCAACAGAGCTGTGGTGGTTATTATCAGAAAATGGGATGGAACAGGCAGAAATCTGTTCAGGCTGGAAAATCCTGAGAGGGAATGAATGAGAAAGCAGCAACACCCCCAGGATGAGATCCTGGGGGACACAGCCCTCTGTGGGAACAAAGGGAGAAGTGGAGAAAGGGACCAAACCAAACACATGGACATTTCAGGAGGTCTTTTAATAAGAGAATTTTTCAGGTGAAATTCAGTAAGTCAGCAAAAAAGGATGGATAAATCCAGACTCTTCAAGCCCAAATGCAGAGCCAGTTTAGTCTACATAAAAACTAAGTGCACAGCTCTCTAGCAATCAGAAGACAAGGTAATATTATTATGTTATTTAATACTTTTTACAGGGAATGAAGGTTGCATAAGCCTCTACGCTTATTAGACATTAGATTTAATTTCCTGTATTACTGAGAAATGGGTGACTTGGAGCTCAGCCAGGCTTGGATAGAATGTAATAGGTTACACATTTATAAAAGGGAACTAGTGCAAGTAGGAACTGCTGCTATAGGTGTCAATTTAAAGTAATACTTTCCCCCCAAAAAACCCCATCCCACACAGGATAGAGGAGACTGAATCAGGGATGTGCTGTAAAAGCATTAAGTCAGGGGAAAGTGGTGCAGAGACAGCAACCAATGACTAAGTACATTTGACCTTCATGTATTATTTTCTTCTCAAGTCTTAATTTTGTGGTTTCACAATGGGCTCATCCCCAGAAAAATCTAATGTCCTCTAATAATTATCACAGGTGTTATTTATACATTTATGCCTTGGTCTGTCAGACCCAAAATATCTCCATATATTGATAATAAAGAAACAGGTTATTTACTTATTGTTTCACTTGCTGAAATGCAAAACCAAAATTAAATAAAATGCTTTATAATCTATTTATTTCCAATTACTTGTGCAATGTTACTCGTTTTCTTGTTTTCCAGTGTGCTTTCCTCTTTCCTTAAGAGAAATATAAAAGACAAAGAATTTTCAAAAGAAGGATCTGGGAATTCTCAATACTATAAGTTAGCTCCTTGGCATTTTCATAAAGAAAAAACACAAGTGAATCTTCCTACCACTATTCAGCTGATTAAAAAAAGAATTATCTTTGCCTTTCAACATAAATCTTGTTTCAACATAAATATTTTTAAACTATGAAAGCCCTTTTTGAATTTTGTCTTTCTTCTTATTTTGAAGGTATGGTAAGAATAGCTACAAGCTAAATGCCATAGAATATATAATGTAATTATATATGTTGATTTTACCTTGCTCAAATTATGACATTTTCAACTCCTTGATACATAGTATGTGCTTATTACTGAAGTAATATGTCAAAATAGATTGTAATTTATTAATATCAGTAACAAAGTAGTAAGGAAAGAAAGCGTAGAAAAAAACAGCAAATAAATTCTGCACTGTAAAGCACCAAGTATTAATTTCTAGAGTAAAGAATGTGTGAAGATTTTACAGAGCAAGGTTAAACTAAAAAAAGTGTGCTCAGATAGAGAGAGGTTGTTACCATCTGCAGTCCAGCTGAAGTGAGAGAACATTATGAGTATTCAGTGTCATTAAGACCCCAGTAATTTCTATTTTGTATTTTCAAGTGAAATATCACTCTGATGAGATACTCAGAATACTTAGCAACTCCCATGATGCCTTTTCTGGGCCTCAGCCACCTGGATGAATTTCTGGGGTCACAGCCTTTGCTCTCCTTAGGATTTCTCCACAGTCAAGTTGCAGCTAAAACACTGACAAGACACAAGCAAAGTGCTTCAAATATTCCCAGTCTGGAAGCATCAACAAAGATCACTCAGCCCAAGCCCAGCTCAAAGCTGGATCACCCAGGGCAGGGTGCTTGGGACCTTGCTCAGTTGAGTTTGGAGTTTCTTCAATGATGTCAACTTCAAAACCTCCCTGGGCAGCCACAGGACACACGCTCCTCTTGTCCACCCTCACAGTCCTTTCCTGCCCTCCCTCCAGCATTTCCATGTCCTTCCTGCTGTGAGGAGCCCAGAACTGGGCACAACACTCCCACTGAAGTCTCACCAGTGCTGGGCAAAGGGGAATGATCACCTCCTTTGACTTCCTAGCAAAGCTCTTCCTAATGCAGCCCAGGATGCTGCTGGGCCTCTCTGCCAATATACATGCTTACAGATATAACAGAATTTTAAGGACATGATGAGTTACGTATTTCCAGGGTCTGCTCTATATCAAGGAAATACAAACTATATTATTTTGCTAATACATGTTTTATGTCAGTACCAGGGATTGTATTTATGTTCTCATTACATGATTTCCCAAATAACTGGCCCATTAAAACCATTGTTTGGGATGATTACACAGTGCTTTGTAAAAACATCTGTGCACAGATTTCTAAAGGTAACACTGAAAATCTCTAAATGCAGACCAGGGTAGGTTCACAGGAATGAAGGCATCTTGGAAACTGCAATTCTAGAAGATAGCAATTCTCGATTTCATTGTGTTGTTAGTGTTAAGATTTAAAGACAGCAGTTTAATTACTATTATATTTAATTCACAGATAACCTTTTGTAGCAGTAACATCCAGCTTATAAACTTCCACAGTATCCAAAAGCACTCCACACTGTTTCAGAAGCCAAAAATCCAGTTCTCCCTAATGTATTCCTGAGAACCTTCCACTTCCTCTGCAGCTGCCACAGTGTAACTGTGGACAATACACTTATGTATTGACAATACACAAGTTTTCTGTGGAAAAAGGTCCATAGATTTCTAGTAGGTCCTCAGGCAGCCTAAAGCAATGAGATGGTCTATCAGATTTGTTTGTCTTGGCAAGGAAGACAGCAACCTTGTTCTTGAAAAATCTACATTTAGTTCCCCATCTATAAACAATTTTCATCAGTTCTTCCATCTGCAGTATAAGTCTTTGTTTGGCAAACAATTTGCAATGTTTCTTGTTATACATGTCAAATTGTTTCTGTTCTGCATGAGCTATAATGACTTAAAGGACCAAAGTTTCATGTGGTGGAAGGAGTTTGTTCCCTCTGAATCCAGGGGTACCTTTACTGCTCTGGCTGGCCCATGATTTCTTTGCATTTCTTGCAGTCTGTGACTGCAGAAAACAGGAAAAAAACTCCTTCTCATTAGTGACATAGCAGTACATGAGCCAACATACAGTCTAGCTAATGCCCTTTTACCTTCTGGAATAGTTTAAAGCAGGATGCAAAATATTCTTCCAAAAATATACAAAGTCCTTTCCATCCACTTTCCTGTAAAGCTATGCCAAAAGCCCTGGGAAAGCCTTTTGACTCCGGCCTACATGCTCAAAAGAAATCTGGGAGACTGGCAAAAACCCACAATATAATTAGGACAATGCTGGGACTCAAATTAACATTATGGAAAGCAAACACCTTTCATACCACTCCCAGCTCTCACATATCCATGCTTAAGGGAAATTAAAATTCAGATGCTCATGAGCAGAGTAGCTCTTCCCAAAACAACACTAGATTGGCCCAGGTGGCTACAACCTGCACAATTTTTCATGGACTGACTTTCAAACTGCCTCATGGCTGCCTGAGTCTCAAAGATGTTGAATATCTTTCTCAGCTTTTTCCAATGCAGACCAGATGTTCTATTGTGATAATTCTCTCATGGGTCTTTTCCATTTTGACTCTCCATCAGCTAGGGATCCAAAGAGACATTACTTGAAAAACAGGAACCATAAAAGAGCCAGGAACTTATAAATTAAAACATAAACATTAATTTGTTTTCCAAAATACAGATGTCTTTTGTCAGTTCAAGCC